AGCTCGTGTGAAGTGAAAAACATTCCAATTGAATATCGTTGCACCGCTGCTTTAAAGCACATTGGTGTATAGAATTTTCTCGAGGCATCTGAGTGGGTTGGAGTTTTGCTCTGAATGCAGGTTCTTGGTCACCATCGAACTGAAAATGATTGAGAAAGAACTCACACTGAACAATTCCTCGCGTGCCGTTGACTTGCGAAAGTGACGGTGCCGATACAAGTTAATTTCCGCCATTGATATGGCAAAACCTAAACTGCTTTACAAACCACCAGATGGCACTGAATTTCGGAAAGGGTCTATTGCCAAGAGACGTTGACTATAAAGGAGCTCGTTTCGAAACGTGTGCTAGCGGCCTTCTGTCTGCGAAAAGTGTTTCGATAAGAAATCAATTGGCTATCATGCGTTGTGAACGAATCATGGCAGGATGGTGCATCTTGTGGCTTCTAAGCGTCTTCCACGAGGTTGACTGAAGCCTTTTCTTGCGCATGAGTTAAAAGACCTGCGTTCACTTTTTCAGCAATATAAATCCGCGTCATCTAAGTAATGTCGAAGAAAGGTTAGCTGAGGCAACCCTAACTCGCATTTTCCCTTATTATGAAACCGCATTCATCAAGGCGTTCGAGTAGCAATTTTATATGTTCAAAAAGTTCCAATTAAGTGCAGCTATAAAGAATCAGCTCATCTACCTAAGCATATCAAAATGCAAGTCTTTGGTTGGCATATGTATTAGGGATTGTTGGAATATATAGCACGCTCCCAACTTTTTCTCGAGGCCGTTTAAAACCCAGGCAGAATACTCGTCTTCAAACTCAGTGTTGTACACGTTCCACAAAAAAAGAAACGAAAGTTCGTTCCTCGTTCCTTCTGATTTTTGGAACGCGTTCCCGTTACAAGTTCCATCTGTGAAAAAGGAACTCGTTCCCGTTACAGTTAAAAAAATGGAACGTATCGTTACTTATTCGTTACATTTGTATTTTGCTGATTACCATACTTGGTTAGATCAAGCAAAGTTTCCATTTTTTTATCTATCCCATCCAATGGGAACATCTGAATTTATATGTCGTGATGGAAGGGCACCAGGAGAAGAAGACAAGTGGAATCAAGGTTTTATTTCTTGATAAATTCAAGTTGAAAAATCTCTGCTTTGAACCATATTCATGTTTTTTGGCGAACGGTTCAGACGTGTCAAATATGCTGTTACCCTACATTGCATGAGATTTTTACAAGAACCTCATACGTTTCAATATAACGAAGTCTCTTGTTCAAACTTAACAACAGTTGCTTCTTAGTGTTGCTTTCCAAAATGCGAAGAAGCGAAGAAGTGGTTAGTTTTTTTGAAAGGTCGGTCTTGAAAACTACAAATAGTTCCTTGTGAAGGTTTGATTCGTTGTTCAGTTTGAAGGTGGGGGACAAGGGGAGAAGGAATAAAGATTAATTTGTGTGTATCGTTTAAGTGACCAATGTTCGGGATACAAGGGTGCGTTCGATGTCTGGTAACCTGTGATTTTGTTGTAACTGCATGTCTCTTTATGAAAGTTCCGAAATGGCTGTAGTGGGCCCTAGATTTCTGGGTGTATGAGGATTCGTGGAAGCAAAGAAAGTAGCTGAGTTTGAAACGTCCCTCTTTGTATCTTTTCGTGCGACTAAAAGTATTGCTTTCTGTACCACAGTCTCGGGCACTCAAAAAAGAATCATTGATGTCCACTAGCTGTCCTGCAAACGACTGTTACCAAGAGAGGACCACACAATATAAATTCGAAGATAAGTAACTAAAGAGTTAACGAGTTAAAAACAATATTTCCGTAAAGATGTTTTTTTATACTTCAGAAAGTTCCCTCGTATAAACAAAATAAAAGTTACCCCACTGAACGATAAAAGGAACGCCGTTCCTTTTTCCGTTCCAGTAAAAATGTAACGCGTTCCCGTTCCAGTTCCAGCGATGCAAAATGGAACGGCGGCGTTCCTTCGTTCCTCCTAAAAGGAACGCGTTCCAGGAACGCCGTTCCGTACAAGACTGTTCAAACTCACATACGCCCCCCCCCCCCCCCCCCCGCCCCCTTCCCCTGAATCTATGTTTTTCGGGCCACAAGAAGGAAGGGAGAAACCCACAAAGGACACGCAATGCTTTAAAGGCCTGCATTCGCGTAGTTAAACGAATGGAACCGACAGATTGTGTTTGCACCTACATGAATATGATCGCGAAATGTTAAAAACCTTTATACAGAGTGAATGGGAAGTATAAGGGTGAAATCGAATACATCAGTGTATACAGAAAGCCTGATATCAGGCTCGGCAGACATAAGATGATGGAATAGACGTCAGGGTAGTTGGCGAATTAAAAACAATTTGCTAATTAACGTTTTAATTATTTATGTTATATGCACTATTTCAAAATAATTCCACCCCAGCTCTTCACAGCAACCCACGGCTGCCAGCACGGAAAGCCAAAATTGTCCTAGCGGAGGCCTGAGATTTCTTTATTTCCGCCGAAATTTCCCTCGCTTGCCCAAACAATTGCATAATATTAAATATTCGTTGTTTTCTGTGTCACTTCCATTTTTACTGTGAGAAATATGCGGAGCGCAAGTTCGTCTGCTTCTTGCACAAGGGTTGCGATGATGTCAGAATGTCGAGCTCTTACTGGCTGACTGAAAAAAAATAGTGGCTGTACCTCAAGACATTCAGCACTGAGGTTTATCCAATTTCCTTTCAGCCAAAGCCGATCAGAGCTCGACGTCGTTCTGACGTCACCACAACCCCCCGCAAGAAGCAGACGACTTGCTCTACGCGTAGCCTTTACGGCCCGCGTACCTTTCGCAATAAATTAGTTTATCGAGCCAAAACCTTGGCCAAAGCAAATCTAACGAGGGGAAGTGTTACCGGGAGATTCAAACTGAGGAATGGAACCCTATCTTCGGCTTAGATGCTATGCACGTCATCAGAACATTATACTGCTTTAATAACTTCATTAGAGCTTTTTATGATAGTCCAAAACAAAAGGTGTAACACAAGCGAGAGCTCTCAAACTCGAACACACGGATCAGGACGGCACTTCAGGAATTAATATTAGTCATGTTAAGTCCATATCTTCAGACATTGCAGTATTTATTCTTCTACTCAAGATTTTTTTTCTTTCGATTAGGCACAGCAGCAGTCTCAGAATCTTCGACTTGTTTTGTACTTTCTCCACATAATTTTCCAGGGAGTGATGAAAACTGATTTTTCTAAAAACGTTGGATGGATGGATGAATGGATGGTAACGGCTGTACATTTTATATCGGGTGGTATCTCGCGTCACCTAGCCACAGTGCTTAAACGGGGTAGTGTAACGAACGAAATCGGAAAAGCGGCACAGCGTTGGAAGACGGCCGCGGGTGGCGCTGGCGCTTGCAGCACCGTCGTTCCGGCTATGGCTCCGGCTTAGCCGCTTGGTGAGCTTGGCCGCGGGTGGCGCTGGCGCAGCTGTCGACTACACTGTCGTCTGCTAGTTTCACGTTTTTATTCACCTTCAAACACAAATCACGTCGTTGGAAGTTTACTGGAAATAATTGTTTTCAAGTTATTTATGTTAGTCATGGAAGCGTGTTAGGGTGCCTCTATCTGCCAGCCGATTGAGCCACCCTAACGGAGCTGCGGATCAAAGCGCCAACTACACCGTCTTCCAAGGAGCGGCGTTCCCGATGCATGGTGGAGGCTAGGGAGGCTCTAGTGAGGGTGGGCGCAACTCAAAACATGGAGAGCGTTTGCAATTTAATGGCGGCGCATGAGGGAGAGGATTCGAGAAAGGATATGCGCCAGTGTTGCCTGCACGAGAGCAGGCGCCAGCTCTGTTGCAACTCTGTTGCTCCATGCGCCTTTCCTCCTCTCGCTCCCCATTGCAAGCAACGAACGCCTTGGCGCAGCCTCTCTCGCTTCCTTCTCGCTCCGAGAATTGCAAACGCCGAACGGAGAAAGCAAGGTTGCCAGACAAGCAGCAACGTCCAAGATGGCGGAATTTACCAGTCTTCGCGTTAAAAAAATACTTAACCTATCGCAACAAAACTGGTGGCTATGGAAAAGTAATCATTTATACCTTGTGTAAATTATTCAAGCACCTTAATGGGCTTTTATGACCCGAGTTAGGAAAGAAAACGACCCTTTGCCCCATAGACTCCCAGCAAAATTTAGCAATTAAATGGCGTCCATGTCCCGTGATCGCCGATCTAGCAGTTGCACCCACCCTCACTTGAGCCTCCCTAGTGGAGGCTACGCGGTAACTACACTACCCCCTTTAAGCCACTGTAACCTAGCCTAGTACTACTCAATGTTGCCAGATGGTCGTACCACAAACCGCCAAACGGCTGAAGGAAATAACCCAAATGTTGTCAAAGCCGCTGAAATTCAATGTTATCTCTAAAAAAAAACATAACTGACCTATGCAATTACAGAAATATACGGCACCCGAAATTTCCCTCAAATTAGTGAGATTTCCCTTATTCCCACATAGACCTGGATATTACCTTTGGGAGCTTCGCAGCAACCCCACGTCCTGTCACTCCTCCTTGGGAAATGATATACTACCGTCCGACACCAACTTCGGCAATGAAAGATTCAATTTATATATCTCGTTTTAATAAGCTATACATCATAAAGATATATTTTGGTCCCGTGTTAGGTATACCTTTAAGATAATATGTTAGATTATCTCCCCATTTAGATATAGGTTGGGCAGAGTACCAATATAGCCCTTGACTACTTCACTAATTAATCGTCTAACGAAAGAACAGTCGCGGGCAGCGAAAAAATTTTTCTCTATTATAAGACCAGAAACAAAACGACAAAATAAGAAGTGGGAAGTAGGATCTTCAATTTATACCAATGTTTATACTTTATTCAGTCTGTTCTTGACATCTATCGCTCTATGTCATAATAGGTTTCCAGTCGTAATCCTTGAAAAAGATGTGGTCCGATGGTCGGTAGGATACCTATACGTTTTACCAGCCGCGCATCTGTGGGCAGCTTCAGGCATCCAGGGGGCAGTGCATGTCTTGATCGCTGAGTGTCTGGACCTGTCGTCCCTTGACGGCCTCGGGCGTCTCGCAGCGGGCCCTGAGCCGGCGCTCCGAGCTGCTCCGCAGGAAAGCCACGCGGCAATCGCAGTGCAGCGGGTTCTCTGCGCAATGGGGACCAGTAACGCGTTTCTTATACATCGCACTGCAGTCGCAACGAGCAATTGTTGAAACGTATCTGCTCCTCGAATTAAAAAAAAATAACATTTACAGTTTTTACAACAATTACTTATGGTGCTGTCAGACTAATCTCTAACACAAGCCATGCCCAGATGGCAGCGAATATTAGGGTCATTCCACACCAAACGATCCAGGCCTAAATTCGACCCTCACGGATTCTGTCTAGACAAGTGTGTGTTAATGGTTATGTAAAATTACTTTTTTGCAAGACAGACAATATTTTTTTTGACGACACTTTCATTTTTGTAAAACAGACCCCAAGAAATAAACAAAAAGACTTGAAATGCGATTGCAAATTAAATTCCGTTTTATCGATTGCCATCTTGAAGTAAAACGGTCACGTGCAGCACGCCAAGGAACTCACGTCCCAGAAGGATGAGTGTCCTGGAGCCGTTAAGAAGTCTTCCAACGCTCCTTTCTTTCAGGCTGGTGATACGGTTGCCTTCGAGGTCAAGGAAGACAAGCGCCGGTAGGTCCTCATCAAAGTCGGGGTGGATTTCGCTGATTTCGTTGAAGCTGAAATAAAGCAATTTATGGTGTGTAAGGTTTAACTTTAGAGATGAAATAGCTGCAGACATATCTCGGCCTACGCAGTGATTATGGGCAAAATATCGAGCATGATTATAATTGTAAAACATAGAAATAGGCTTTCAGAAGAAAACTAAACCGCAGAACATTTTTAACACGTTGTTAAAAATGTTTGTGTATATCCCCGCGCTTTACTTTGTGTGTTTTTTTCGTGCCTTATCTACCCGTTTGAATTCTGTGTTGGAGTAAAATATTGTGTTTTTATGATATAAAAACGTCCATAATAAATATGTAGCTCACCAAACTGTCAACGGAAATATTGGCACTACAAAAAGACAGTTTCGAGCAGAAACTTCAAATTGGTCTGTTGTGACACCAACCAATGGGAGAACCTTTTGAAATTACATATGTGCACTCCGCCACCCTGTTAAGGCGGACAAGGCATCGCTGATTTTTTTCTCGGTAATAAAGTACTGTCATGAAAAGTACTATCCTGGCGGAAAATCCTCAGATGGTGTAGTAGCAACGTGGTAATTCTTGATGCCCTTTAGTATGCTTTCGATACAAAGTGTGCGAAAAAGCGCCCAAGACGTGTTCGAGCTAACAATGTCGCCCGCTGTACAGGTCCGCCAAGGGAACACCTTTGATATACTTAAGAAATTATCGGGATAGCATAGAAATCAAGCTGTTGCATGGGACTAATCACTTCCGATACCCGCGGATGGCTCAATATAATCATTAAATGCGGAGTATCTTGTTAACCTGGCATAATACTATCGCATTTGGAACAAACTGCTACAAAACCAAACTGAAAGACAGGTTCATTAATTAATTATTGGACAATGCGTTTGCTACTCGCAATAGTCAATGGCATATAGAATGCCTGTTAGAGGGATGCAGCAATTCCTGCATTTGATAGAGTGAAGTACCGCAGAAAAACATTATTGATCCATAGTTGCACTATCCTTTGCTAATGAAAGCAAATTGTGTGTTCGCTTTCCGTTAAGCAAACATAACTATACACCCTAACGTGTCTAAAAAACATAGGTAGGCATAGCGCTGGAAAAAGAACACATAAGTGTGAAGAAACGGCGTCGTAATTTTTCATGAATGCGTTATTCCTTATTATATATTGTAAAGGTATTTCTTTTTGAGATTTACAATTTTACAGAGCCTCTTTAGTATTACAATTTAACAGTTTACGAGGTAAAAAAAGTTTAACACAAGACCCGTATATACTTCGCTGCGCAAAAGTTTGTATTCGGAAGTATAATTCTAGAGCCAATATCATCTCCAAACACTTCCTCGCATCCACGTTTTGAAGGATAGTGACGTTAAAATCACTTTTTGATGATGCTACTAAGCTAGCGCCAAAGGTAAAAAAAAAAAAGCGTTAAACGTCCCGCTTCGAGAAATCCGCGCAATAGAAGTTCGAAGAAAGAAAAAAAGACTCCTACTTCAAGTCGATGTTTCGCAGTCTCGGCGCTGGTCTGGGCAGCATAGACCTGGAGAATGTCTGAAGCTTCGAATCCCTTATAACTATGTACTCCAAATTACGAAGCTCCGATACCCAGTGCTCGGTGATGCGCTCAATGGTCGAGTAAACGATGCTTATTCCGCGCACAGTTTGCGGCAGGTTGTTGAAGTCTTCAGTGAGGTTGAGCCGGTGCATTTTTGAGAAGCTGAGTGTCTTGAGCCTAGGGACGATCTGAAGCGCGGCCCAAGACTCCGGCAGCGTGCTGTTGTAGCTGAAGGCTATTCTCTCCAGGGTCCTCTCGACTTCCTTCAGAGGGCTTGCGTCGAAGGACGTCATAAGCGTCACGTTAATCAGTTCCAGCAGGGTGACGTTGATGCCCAAAAACGCACCGTACGGGAGGTAACTCAGGCGGCAGTCCTCGAGGATGAACGTCAGCGCCTTCCTGTTGAACGGACGCTCGACATAGTTGTCGAAATCGCCAGGCTTGTTGAATCCCTCGCAGGTGTAAGAGGTCTCGAAGTCGCTGCTTGTGTCTTTGCACGACGGTTCCGCCGACGCTGTCAAAAAATGCAGGAGAATCACCGCGCAGAAGAGACACGCCATGATGCCGGACAGAGGACTGCCAGCCGAGGTGTGCGCCAGACTGAGGCCTTCGAGGGCTGTTTATTGGTCGCATCGTCTTCAGCGGCCAGTTGAAAGAGGCCCGAGTGAGAAGCCAAATCCGTCGCCTCTTCGAATTGCGACTCCGGCATCGGGTACCACTGGCTGGGTGGCTGGTTTTGTTTTTAATCGCAGCAAAGCGTGGCTCCGATTACGCGCAAGTTCCGCCTCCCGGAAGTAGAGGACGTTGACCCTGTCTTGGTGAGAGCCTTCAAATAGTAGCGTTTCTAAAATACGAGGTGGTAGTAAATGGCAGTTAAACGAAAAATAACTCCTATTCCCGACATAGGCCCGAAAACTCATTTTTAATACACAGATAGCGTGCAGTTCAAAATAAAATTTCAAATGAAACATTGAACCATTCAGAAAGATGAGCGTGACAGCCTTGTGCACGTGTGTTACCCGAAAAACGTAATCAATTACCATTCCAATCACTCCTAGTTAACAACCATTTAATTTGTACTTGAGAGGAAAAGGAATTGACCGTTAGGTGAAAAAGAAGCCGTTACTTTTCCAATTAGTAGGGTTTTTCAAAATGACAGATTTTAAAACCGGTTTAAAAGCGGGGTCTTTCGCCCTCTCCATTATTGGATTAGATTGAATAAATTAGAAACGACTTGTCTTCTCAACCCACCAATTTCGGTAGATCATATCCTCCCGTTGGAGACTTGGCTCGGGGATTCTTTGATGGGGAAACTTGTACAAAAAGCGTGATCAGGAAAGAGAGGAAAATATAGTAACGGCCACGAAAATGTTTAGGTAATTCAAAAAGTAATCAAGTTGCTCTCGCGATTATGTTTCGAAATATTTATTCCCATATTTGCAAACTTACCCCAAACATTTACTGGTTACAAGGATTTTGATTACTTCTCAATCAATCAATCAATCAATCAATCAATGTTTATTTTTTCTCTTGTGCTAACCAACAGCTCGAAAGCCTACTGGGTTAAGCAAACACAATCGAAATACACCCAAAATACAGAGTAGACAAAATAAAGAGTTGTGAAAAAACAAAAAACAAAAAAAAACATGCAAGCACACAAACGTGTATATATGCCAATTAAAAACACATGCATCAAAATGATCGTTCTCCAAAAGACAGGTTTGTACTAAAAATATCGACGTCAGTAAATTGCGCGTTTAAAACATGTTGGATACGCGAAACCGGTGATGCGTTGCGAATGAGGTCTGGATAAAAGACTCTAGGATTTCTAGAGTTCGTTCTAAGTGGTATGCGAAAGTTAACACAGGTGAGGAGAGTAGGGCTGTCTATTGCATTATGAATTAGCCTATGAAAAAACTGAACATCCCGAATAGACCTTCTTTTACCTAAGGTGCCCAATGTTAATTTTGCTAAAATCGAATTATATTCATAAAAACACTTTCTTCCAAAATATCGGTCGTAAATGATGCGCACAAATCGCTTTTGTACATGTTCTATACTTTCACTTGCTGTTATAGATATGCAGTTCCAGACTACAGATGCAAATTCTAGTTTCGAACGCACATGGGTACTATATAATTTCAAGAGACAGTGATGAGTGATAAATGGTCTAGTTAAGCGAGACATTATTCCTAGCGTGCGCAATGACTGGCTGATAATGGAGTTTACATGAGAAAGGGAAAAAAGATGGTCGTCCACAAGAACACCTAGGTCTCGCATCTGCGTGGTCCGACAGATCGTTTCATTTTCCAGAACATATACATAGGATAAATTGTGACGCTTTCTTGACAGCGACATGACTTTTGTTTTGCGCGGATTTAAGAAAAGATTGTTAGAACTGCACCATTCTACCACTGAACGAAGATCGTCCTGCAGCAAAGTACAGTCAGTGACTGAGGTGACCTCCCGAAACAACTTCACGTCATCTGCGAACATAAGTATTTGAGAGTGTTTTACGGACGACACCAAATCACTTATAAAAATAAGAAACAACAAAGGTCCAAGGTTTGAGCCTTGAGGCACTCCTGATATAGAAATGAATGGACGAGACAAGAAGCCAGATACCCTTACACAGTTCTGCCTTTTATGAAGATAACTCCTAAACCAGGTATTGTACTCAGGACTCAGGCCATAGTCCTTAAGTTTCAGCAATAACAGCTCATGATTCACCTTATCGAAGGCTTTGGACATATCCAGATATATTGCGTCTACTTGGCCCCGAGACTGAATTATTGGAAAGGCAAAATTTAAAAATGTGCACAGATTTGTCTCGACGGATCTGCCTTTGACGAAACCGTGCTGTACAAGAACAAACGTTCTTTTAAAATAATTATACAAACGATTGTACACCAGCTTCTCAAAAACCTTTGAAAATGCATTGAGAAGGGAAACAGGACGATAGTTACTAACATCACAAGAATTACCTGACTTGAAAATCGGGACTACTATTGAATATTTCCATTTTTCTGGAAAGACACCACTCTGTATAGACAAGTTAAACACTTTTTCAAGAACAGGAGCAAAACATTTGGCACATCCTTTTACAACGAAGTTGGGAATACCATCTGAGCCTGTGGACAGTTTAGAATTCAGCTTTCCAATAGCTAAAAGCACTTCGTGAACAGTATATCTAGTAAAAGGTAAATAGTCATCAAAAGTAGTATTACATGTCATGGGTAAAAGGGTGTTGACATTGGAAAAGCATGAACTGAAATGATGCGAAAACAACTCACAAACAGATTTTGGGGACGTTTCAATAACTGACCTGTTGCTCAGCGTTATATCGTTAAAGTTCTTCGTCATTTAAGCATGGATGTAGGCAACAGACACGACGGCACTTCTGGGTTCAGAAGAGTTTATAGTGTGTGCGGCTTTATTGTGCTTTTTGTGAATAAACGCAACAAGAGGCAAATTCTGCAGAGAGAACGATAACTAAATTCGCAGATAAACTCCCAATAAAAAAAAAACATGTTTATGAGGAAGCCACAGTTCAAATTATACTATAACTATAGCCCAATATTACAAAAAATATTTCACTATTGCAGCATTACAATACTCAGCTCTTCTTTTCGAGGATCAGTGTTTCAAATAAAAACCGTTTTCACACTTCACTCCCATTCCTAGTTCGAAATAATACTGTCATTTGAATTGCTCCATGTATCTTAAGGGAATTTCACCCGCTATTTATTTGTAGCCTTTTCAGCATAGAAGTTTCCTCATAGAAGTTTTCTGGAATAAACGAGTTTTTCCCAACTGCGTAAGCTGTTAGGAAACTTCAAAGCTGTTCGCCCCTACGTTGAGGCTGCAGCCATAGCTACAAGAGCGAGCTAGCCCGCGCTCCTGGCTTTGGGGGTGCATTTCTATCGCGGGTGCTCGTTTTGCGGAAGAACGCTCCAAGGCAGCGACCTCGAGCTCTGGTGCCTGTGGCGTTGGTTGCAACCTCAGCTTCAGGTTTAAAAAGAGTATACACTTTTGTGTAAAATGGTATGAAGGCTCGTTCATTGCTGTGTTCATGTCTTACGCACGCGCTTTTTTTGGCTGGCCGAAATAGACCTTTTGCCGAAGTACATAAGCATCAAAATGAATGCCGGGAAGGTAGGTCCACGCGCTGCGCAAGCACGTGCAGCTCGTGCACCTACGTTCCCAACATTCTCTTTGCTGCTGGGGTAATTCGGCAAAAGGTCAATTGCGAGCGAGCGCTGACTGTTCTGTGATTTAGCACGCGTGGACTGTTACTTTCGTAAACAGTAGATGCGTCTATAGGCGATCCAGATTTTGTTCGCCCGGTGTCTGCTGCTACTCCGGGGCACGAGCTAGTAAAAAATCTCTTTGATTTTTGACTGCCTCCGAGTTCCCACGTTCGAATCACTCAAAACTTGTTGTCTGAACACCCTATTTTCTAACGGTATTGAGCCTGTAATAAGTAGCGTCAAATCATGCGCCAGTCACGGTCGTATGTAGAAAAGAGCTTCTGACCGTGGTGCTTTTCCAGCGCTTGGACGTACGGCGCGTACTTTTCTCGCTTTCGGAATCGGCGACCATGTTCGTGTTGTGCACTGATCTCCGCCAAGGGGCTGGACGGTGCGTTGAGCAGACAGGTGGAAAGGCACCGGAAGTAAGCCTGCTTGTTACGCAGTAACAGCTCATACAGACCGGAAATGTATCCTGGGAAGCCATTCGATGTGAAAAATAGTGGGATTCTTGTCGATCAAACGTGCATATGTACCACGTTCAAGTGCCTTATTCACGAGATTTAATTCAAAACGCGTCGGGCTCGGACCAAATTAGTAAGTTGTCGCCATTCGACTGTGATGACGTACCGTTGAAGAAGACGAAGTTGTTTACAAGCTTCTCTGAGACCAGAGACCTCTTCACCCTCCGCCATCTTGAAGTCATGTTACGCGGCCACCATCAGGTGGCTTCAACTCGGCTCTCCGCTCTCCACACTGCATCTTGGCAAAGGAGTTGTATTCTTGTTTTTCGTCGCGTTTCACGGCGTTTCTTGCCTGGCTTTGTAAAGTGTCGTCCTGTGCTTTGCATGAGAATCAATATGTGCACAACGGCTGCAGTAATTTTGTAACAGGTGTTTTACTATTCTCACCGTCGGCGTACCGGATGCGTGTAAGGGGTGAGTGGGTCACAGAAATAAGCGTTCGCCCTGACCGCATTGATCATGTAGTTGACTATAAGTCAGAACGCGGGTTGAGGACCCAATTACTCATAAACACTCAAGTATTCGCAGTGATATATGTGGCGGAACATTCAAAATAAGTAGCGTAATGTATCATGTAGGATCGTGACAAAAATGGAGTGCCAATGGGGCAACTGAAAGCAGTTTCATGAAGGCATCGTGCTTCGCTTTCAATAAAAATCGAACTCAGTTGCACTTCGGTATATGAAAAACAAAACTCGCGTAGAATAATAAAAACGTCAGCAGAAAGCGTTGGGTTTATTTATGGTATTACACCAAAATGTGTTAAACGTTTATATTAGTTCTTTT